GGCCATGAAAAGATCAGCCATGATCTTATTGAATGGGGGAGCAGGTTTGATGGGCCTGATGGCCTACTCCTCCTATCTCGCACGTTCTTATGACTGGATTGAAATGTGTAACATCCAGAACAAAAGCAGAAGTTGCTGGAAAAGCTCAGCAGGTCTGGCAGCATCTGTGAAGAAAAAATCAGAGTTAACGTTTCGGGTCCGGTGACCCTTCCTGTGGAAGGGTTAGGGTTAGAAGGGTCACCCGACCCTGAAACGTTAACTCTGACTCTTTCTTCGCAGATGCTGCTGGACCTGCTGACCAGGGATTGGTCTGCATCTGCTCCTGCTTCATTTCAATGAAGTTGGAAGAATGTCAGTGATAGTCTCAGACCATTCAATGGAAATCGAAATCTATTTGCACGGCGCACTTTCACCCCTGAATGTCCCCTCAGGGTGCTGAGGCCAATTATACATGGGCAGTAATTTCCTGAAGGAAATCTATGGAGCAGGATGGGGACTTTCAGAGCAGGGCTCGGCGTGTCACTTACTGGCCAGTATGGGAATTGCAGCAATGTTCACTACTTTTTATGAAAGCGTGCCTGATAGAAAGAGAGACGTTCAACATGGCACAGTTGATAACAGATCCCGTAGCACTATTTCATGGAAGAGTGGGGAAATTCTACATGGTCTTCCTGGAAAATATTTATCCCTCAATCAATGTCACAAAAACAGATTCTCTCATTGCTGTTTGTGGGAGCTTGCTGTGTGCAAATTGGCTGTTCTGGTTCCTCCGTTACAACTACAGCTGATTGGCTGGTTTCTCCATTACAACTGCTGGTGATTGGCTGGTCTCGCCATTACTACTGCAACTGATTGGCTGTTAAGTGCTTTGAGCTGTCTAGTTATTTTAGGAAAGCATTGTTGTATGAACAGGAGTCTTTCTTTTTAACTGAGACTCAATTTCAGGATGATGTGGGTTCATAAGAATCTTTTTAGTCTTAGGAGTTGTGCATTGATTTTACTGGAGTGTTAATCAATTTATTTTGACATTTCAGGCAGCAATTGTAACGTTGATCCCTCTGTTTCCTCACTGCATGGTCACTGTACGTTATTTGAGGTAACGGTAAGGAGCTATAGTCTGCAAAGAACTAGAGGCATCCCTTCCTGTTAGGGAGAGGCAATTGTTTATGCATACCTCGAGGGTGACCACCCCACAAGGAGGGGATAAAATGAGGAAACAGAACTTTGAACTACCACAGCCAGTACGGGAATAGAACCCAACTTGGTTTTATTTACCACACTCTGGCCATCCGACCAACAGAACTAACTGAACACTCCCCCGCAACACCATCCACACTGCCACAGAGTGTCATTTTCTGCCACCCAGTTTCTCGCCTTTTTTTTGGCCCCTCTGTTTTGCATCCTCTCATTCTCACACACTGTTTCTCGCGCTCTGTTTCTGCCCCTCTCTTTCTCACCCACTGCATCATGAGTGTAAGCTTAACACTCCAGCTTTATTATTATCTGTGACTGTACCAGAGAGGATACAGGGGAGATTTACCAGAATGTTGCCTAGTCTGCAGCTATGAATTATAGAATCATCATAGAATCCCTACAGTGTGGAAACAGGCCCTTCGGCCCAACAAGTCCACACCGACCCTTGAAGCGTCCCACCCAGACCCATCCCCCTATAACCCACCTAATCTACACATCCCTGAACACTATAGGCAATTTTAGCATGGCCAATCCACCCTAACCTACACACCTCTGGTCTGTGGGAGGAAACAGGAGCACCCGGAGGAAACCCACACAGACACGGGGAGAATGCGCAAACTCCACACAGACAGTCGCCCGAGGGTGGAATCGAACCCGGGTCCCTGGCGCTGTGAGGCAGCAGTGCTCACCACTGAGCCATCATGCCACCCTCAGAGAGACTAGAGAGGCTGGGCCTGTATTCCTTAGAGCAGAGAAGGCTGAGAGGGGACCTGACTGAGGTATACAAAGTTCTGAGGGGCATAGATAGGGTAGCTGGAGTCATACAGCATGGAATCAGACCGTTTGGTCTAACTCATCCATGCCGACCAGGATTCCTAAGCTGAACTAGTCCCATTTGCCTGCGTTTGGCCCATATTCCTCCAAACTCTTCTTATCCACATACCATCCAAATACCTTTTAAATGTTGTAATTGTACCGCCTCCACCACTTCCTCTGGCAGTTTGGTCCATACACACACCACGCTCTGTGTGAAAAAGTTGCCCCTCAAGTCCCATTTAAATCTTTCCCCTCTCACCTTAAACCTATGCCCCTCTAGTTTTGGACTCCCCTACCCTGGGAAAAAGCCCTTAACTATTCAGCCTATCCGTGCCCCTTCTGAATTTATAAGCCACGATAGATTGAACACTTTACTTCGTCCTGTGCTGCAGTTCTTTCCTGAATCGCACTGTCTGTGTTGTTGTGAATTTCAAGTCTTGACATGTCTTCAGAATCCTCAGTGGAGAAGGTTTGGGTTCACTCATGTCCTGGTCTACATGTGACCCTAGACCCACACCAACATGGTTGATCCTCACCTGGCCTTAGGGCAACTGGGGACGGGCAGTGAATATTAGCCTGGTCAGCACTGTCAACATCCTGTGAACGGATTTTAAAAAAAAAACAGCTGATCTTTGTGTTTAACCTACTGTTGGCCTCTGACCCTGTGTCCAGCTGTTTGCTCTCACTACCACAACCCCATGTCTCTCTCTCTCTCTCTCTTGTTCAGTCAGGTCAGGGTCGCAATGGAGGTCGAGTCAATAGTGAGAGAGGCCTTGGCTACATCGAACCGAAGCTACGTCCTCCTGTCGGGCATCATTGCGGATGACTCTATCGCCACTGACATCACGGAGGCTGAGGATGGGTGAGTGAGGCCGCAAGTCTCCGTCACTCCCACAGGGGGCCATTCCCAACAACAGAACGTGGATGCATCGGGAATGGGTGACCAAGAGGTCAAGAGTTAAAGAGCATCTTACGGGAGGAGAGTGAGGTGGAGAGGTTTAAGGAGGATATTCCAGTGCCCGGGGACCTAGAGAGCAGAAAGCACAATGGCCAACTGTGGAAGATGGAAATCAGGATTGCAAAAGAGGCCAGAGTTGGAGAAGTGAGAGGAACACTGGGATCTGAGGAGATCAGTTGTGATCTATCCCCACGGCCCCAAGGGATAAGAGGATTTGGGAATCGACACCAATCAGACTCATGAGTCACTGAATAGGCCCAGGACAAGCCTAGAGAAAGGCAGTGAGCTGTCTCAAACCGCCTTTACCTGGTACCACACACTGGTAGAGTTGGCAAATATCACAGGGTACCTGGAAAAATACCACATTGGCCTCCACCTGTCCCTACGTTCTTGTCCCTGAACCAACATTGTAAGCAGATTAGCACCTTCTAACCCTGTGACCACTACTCCCTGGAAGGACAAGGGCAGCAGATACATGGGAACATCACCCCCTAAAGTTCCCCTCTAAGCCGCTCGCTGTCCTGACTTGAAAATATATTGCCATTCTTCCATTGTGTCGCTGGGTCAGAATTCTGGAGTTCTGTCCCTGACTGCCCTGTGGGATATCCTATTCCCCATGGGCTGCAGTAGTTCAGGAACACTCCCAAGGGCAATTAGGGATGTGCAATAAATGCTGGCCATGCCAGTGACACCTATAATCCCTTGGTCATTAGTACATTTGTGCTTGCTGTGTGCAAATTGGTTCTCTTGTTTCCTACAACAGTTGGCTGGCTGTGCTTTGCAAAGATTTCAGTGAAGCATTCCAGAGGTGGTCAAAGGTACAATAGAAATGTTCTCCTCCCCAGTCAGTGTCCTTTTCTTTTCCAGACTTCAGTTGCTGCAGAGTCAGATGGAGGAGCTGGCAAAGGAAGCAGATGAGGTGCTGAAGGAGGCAAAGAGGGTGCACACGTCTGCTGAGCAAACCCAAGGGGGAAACCTCACCCTGCCTCGAAACCTCACAGAACTGGAGCCTGAGGTTCGTATGCAGTCGCTCTCGCAGACCGTCTGTGGCGGGAGTAAGGTGGAGTAATCTTACTCCATGGAGTAAGATTACAGACTCTGGTCTGTCTCCTGTAAAAGACCACCGCTCCTTTCAGGGGGTCCCCTCGAGGGGCACACCCTGTGACCGATTGCAATCAGAACATGGCTAGCTTTCTTTCTCTAACATTAAGCTTTTTCCACTTCCAGATGATTCTTCAATTGTGCAAGAAAAATGGCTGCTTGTTGCAGTTACATGGGACACTTGTGAGGCCACACTTGTGCATAGTTGTGGTCTCCTTGTTTGGGAAACGAGATATAAAGACATTAGGAGCAATCCATCTGCTAGCTGTGCTGAGGGGGTTACCCAATGAACAAAACCTGGATACACTGGGCCCATCCCGGGGTAGTTTAGGAGATTGAGCGGTGACCTCATTGAGATATAGTTGATCCTGAGGGACTATTGATGAGGCGGATGTTTTCCCTGTAACTACAGTCTGCTGTTTAAAGACAAGGGATCTCCCATTTAAGATGCAGATGAGAATTTTCTTTTCCATCAGAGCTTTATGAGCCTTTGCCTGGAGAATGCGGGAGGTATGGGTCATTGAACATTCTTAAGGCAGGGCTAGATGGATTGTTGACTAACAAGGCCGTCAGAGGTTATCAGGGGGTGTAGGTGGAATTGTGGACACAATCCGATCAGCCATGATCTGACAGAATGGTACAGCAGGCTAAAGGGGCTGAATAGTCTACTCTTGAGGTGGGACGGTGGCTTAGCGGTTAGCGCTGCTGCCTCATAGCGCCAAGGACCCAGGTTTGATTCCAGCCTCGGGTGACTGTGTGGAGTTTGCACATTCTCCCTGTGTCTGCGTGGGTTTCCTCCCACAGTCCAAAGATTTGCAGGCTAGGGTGGATTGGCCATGCTAAATTGCCCCATAGTGTCCAGGGATGTATATAGATTAGGTGGGGTATAGGGGGATGGGTGTGGGTGGGATGCTCTGAGGGTCGGTGTGGACTTGTTGGGCCGAAGGGCCTGTTTCCACACTGTAGGGACTCGATGATTCTTGCTCCCAACGTTTCTGTTTGTCTGATGGTTGGTACAGAAGGTGATATCTTCACGGTCAATCCTTGCGCAGCAGGTGCACTCTAGAACCCCTCAGTCAAGGCCAGTACACTCAGGGTGATGCAGGGAGGCTCAGGGAGGCACAGTGACATTGTGGTAACATCACTGGACTTGTCATCCAGGGGCCTGGACTAAACTCAGGACAAGGGTTCAAATCCAACCACTGCGTAGAATCATAGAATGGAATCCCTACAGTGTAGAAGCAGACTATTTGGCCCATCGAGTCCATACCGATCCTCTGAAAAGCATCCCACCCAGACTCACACACCCCCCACCCTATCCTTGTAACCCTGCATTTCCCATGGTTAACCCACCTAACCTACACATCCCTGGACAATGTAGCATGGCTTATCCAGCTGGTGAAGGTGGTTGGCTCTTAACTGCCCTCTCCACTCAGTTTAATGGCAGTTAGGGTTTGGCTCACCTTGCCAACAACGTCCATATCCTGTAACAAAGCTGAGGGGAGAAACATTGGATTTAAACAGTCCCCTGACACTGAAGAAGTGCGGAGGGGTATCTGTTATCTCTGCTGTTCTGGGCAATATTTATCCTTCAACCTCCACCTAAAAAACAGATTATTTGCTCACAAACTGCAGTGGGATCTTGCTGTGCACAATTTGGTGCCTCTACCTCCCTTTTTTCTGTTTAGAAAGGATCTCTTTGGCCCAGCTTTTGGTTGCAGTCCTAAAGTATCCTTGTTGAATCTTGTCCAATTTGTGCTCCTGTGAAGTGCTTTGGGATGTATTAACTTGCGCACCGGCTATTTAAATGTAAGTTTTTGTTGTGGGTTGAGCTGCGGTGTTTATTGCCCCCCCACCCCAAGCCGCTGCCTTTATGTGCCCTGCTTGGCCTGTTAGAACCACAGAAACAATGCAGCACAGAAGGGGACCATTTGGCCCATCTTCTCCATGCTGACCCAAAGACACTGAGATGCCCTTTCTAATCCCACCTTCCTGCACATGGCCCATAGCCCTGCAGCTTACAGCACTTACGGTGCAGGTCCAGGTAGTTTTTAAATGAGTTTACGGTCTCTGCCTCCACCACTGACTCAGGCAGTGAATTCCAGACCCCCACCACCCTCTGCATAAAACTTTTTTCCTCACGTCCCCTCTAACACTTCTGCCATTGGCTTGAATCTCTGACCCCTGGCTTTTGAACTCTCTGTCAAGGGAAACAGGTTCCTCCTGTCTACTCTATCCCTACCCTCACAGTTTTGTATCCCTCAATCATGGCTAACTTGATTGAGTTTTTTTGAGGAAGTAACGAAGAGGATTGATGAGGGCAGAGCGGTGGATATGATCTATATGGACTTCAGTAAGGCGTTCGACAAGGTTCCTCGTGGTAGGCTGGTCAGCAAGGTTAGATCACATGGAATACAGGGAGAACTAGCCATTTGGATATGGAACTGGCTCGAAGGTGGAAGACACAGGGTGGTGGAGGAGGGTTGCTTTTCAGACTGGAGACCTATGACCAGCGGTGTGACACAAGGATCGGTGCTGGGTCCACTGCTTTTTGTCATTTTATATGAATGATTTGGATGTGAGCATAGGAAATATTGTTAGTAAGTTTGCAAAAGACACCAAAATTGGAGGTGTAGTGGACAGCGAAGAAGATTATCTCAGAGTACAGTAGGACCTTGATCAGATGGGCCAATGGACCAAGGTGTGGCAGATGGAGTTTAATTTAGATTAATGTGAGGTGCTGCATTTTGGAAAGGCGAAATCAGGGCAGGACTTATGCACTTAATGGTAAGGTCCTGGGGAGTGTTACTGAACAAAGAGACCTTGAAGTGCAGGTTCATAGTTCCTTGAAAGTGGGGTCGCAGGTAGACAGGGCGGTGAAGAAGGTGTTTGGTATGCTTGCCTTTATTGGTCAGTGAATTGAGTATAGGAGCTGGGACATAATGTTGCAGCTCTACCGGACATTGGTTAGGGCCACTTTTGGAATGCTGCATGCAATTCTGGGCTCTCTGCTATAGGAAGGATGTTGTGAAACTTGAAAGGGTCCAGAAAAGATTTACAAGGATGTTGCCAGGGTTGGAGGGTTTGAGGTACAGGGAGAGGCTGAATAGGCTGGGACTATTTTCCCTGGAGCATCAGAGGCTGAGGGGTGACCTTATAGATGTTTATAAAATCATGAGGGGCATGGATAGGGTAAATACACAAGGTTTTGTCCCTGGGGTGGGGGACTCAAAAACTAGAGGGGCGTAGGTTTAAGGTGAAAGGGGAAAGATTTAATAGGGACCTAAGGGGCAACTTTTTCACGCAGAGAGTGGTGCGTGTGTGGAATGAGCTGCCAGAGGAAGTGGTAGAGGCTGGTACAATTACAGCATTTAAAAGGCATCTGGATGGGTACATGAATAGGAAGGGTTTATAGAGAGATATGGGCCAAATGTTGGCAAATGGGACTAGATTTATCTTGGATATCTGGTTGGCGTGGACAATTTGGATTGAAGGGTCTGTTTCTGTTCTGTACAGTTCTATGACTCTATGTCACCCCTCAGCCTTCTCTATTCCAAGGAAAACAACCTCAACCTCTCCAATCTCTCCTCGTAGCTACAATTCTCCAGCCCTGGCAACATTCTAGTAAATCTTCTCTGCACTCACTCCAGAGCAATTACCTCCTTCCTGTAATGTGCTGACCAGAACTGCGCACAATACTGAGTTACAGTTTCATCATTATATCCTTATTTTTATATTCTATACATCTGCCAATGAAGGTGAACAGTCCATCTGCCTTTACAAGCTTACCTACCCATACTGCTACCATTAGGGACCTGTGCACTTGCACTAAAAAACGCTCACTTCATCTACTCCTCTCAGTACACATTCTCCCTTGTTCTGATTATTTTGTCCAATATTTCACACTGCTCCTCTGGAATTGCTATTTCCACATTAACCCTTGCCTTTGTGAATATGGAGACAAAAAATTCATTTAAAATTCTTCCTATATCCTCTGCATCTTCACATAAGTTCCCTTCTTCATCTCTGATGGATTCCATTTTTCCCTTATCTATTCTTTTGCTCTTTATCTACGAGTAAAACATCTTTGGGTTTTCCTTTATCTTGTTTGCTAATATTTGTTTCATGCCCTCTCTTTGATTTCCTTCTTTGTTTTACTTGATCTGTGTACTTTCTGTTCATCTCGAAGCTAGCTACAGTGCTGAGTTTTTTTGTGACTGTCCTCCTCAGATTGTTTTGCCTTTAATTTTCCTGAAGGGCTGGAACAATTTCACCACCGAAATTGAGAATTTGGAAAGTGCTCTTCAGGCTACAGAACAGCAAATCGAGAAACTGCTTCTTGAGTTGGAGCCGCGAGTCAAGGCCTTTAAGATGGGAATGGAAACCAAGGAGACGTATGATGAGGTGAGCATGGGGCCAGTATCAGGCCATTCAACCCCAAACCCCAATTCTGCCAGTTTAGATCATGGTTCAACAGGCTCTACCGGGGTTTGATTCTGGAGGGTTATGAGAGTTTGAGATTTTCTCCTCAGTGAGCAGTGGAAACTGAGCAATTGGATATACTTGATGGTGAGTTAGACAGTTTTTTAACAAACAAAGAGTCAAGGGTTATCAGGGGAAATTGGAAATGAAACTCAGCTTTTTTTAAAATTCATTCACGGGACAAGGGCGTCGCTGGTTAGGCAGCATATATTGCTCATCCCTAATTGCCCAGAGGGTAGTTAAGAGTTAGTCATTTTGCTGTGGGTCTGGAGTCACATGTAGGCCAGACCGGGTAAGGATGGCAGTTTCCTTCCCTAAAGGATATTTAGTGAACCAGATGGGTTTTTTCCGACAGTCGGCAATGGATTCACGGTCATTATTAGACTGTTAATTCCTGATATTTATTGAATTCAAATTCCACCATCTGCCGTGGCGGGATTCAAACCCATGTCCCCAGAACATTATCTGGGTCTCTGGATTAACAGACCAGCAATAATACCACTAGGCCATCGCCTCCCCTTCAAGCTGTGTCCTTACTGAATGCTCAAAGTACACTCAAAGGGCTGAACTGTCTCCAGCTGCTCCTATTTTGTAAGATCTGATGATATTTCTCTCTTTTAGCTTCTGAGTCGTGTTAAATCTTCCGAGGCCACTGCAAGAGAGTCAATTCAGAAAGTCAAACGGATCAAAGAGGAGGGACTCTCTTTGCTGAAAACATTGGAAGGTACAGTCCCATCCCATTTCCAAAGCACCCTTTCACACCAGGGAGACCATTTACCAGCCAATTGGAAGGCAGGGTGCAGTGGGATCGAGTGCCAGGCAGCCAATGGTGAGAGTGAGTGGGTGAACGTTGGGATGGATGACACAATATGGCCGACACTAAAATAGGCGGGAAAGTAAGCTGTAATGAAGAAATGTCCAAACGAATATGGACAGATTTGGTGAATGAGCCAAAACTTGGCAGATAAGGTTTAACATGGACAAGCGTGAGGTTATTCATTTTGGCCAGAGAAATAGAAAGGCAACTTATTATCAAATTGCAGAGAAACATCAGAATGCTTCGATACAGTGGAATCTCTGTGTCCTCGTGCATGAATTTTAGAAAACTAAGCAGGTAAATGGGAAATTTTGGCATTTATTACTAAAGGACTGGAGTATTAAAAACAAGGAATCACTGTTGCAACGGTACAAGGTATTAATGAGATCGCACATGGAGTATTGTGCACACTTTTGGTCTCCTTACATGAGGAAGGATGTAGTGGCATTGGAGGCAGTCGGTGGAGGTTCACTAGATTGATCTCTGAGCTGGAGGGGGTCTATCTTATGAAGAGAGATTGAGCAGTTTAGGCCTTTACTCTCTGGACTTTGGGCAAATGAGAGGAGATCTAATTGACTAATTGAGGTTTACACGATGTTTACTTTGTCAATCACCCTTAACATAGAGAGGATGTTTCCTCATGCCGGGCGATCTACAACGAGAGGATTTTAGGACAAGGGGCAGGAAATTTGAAACAGGTGAGGAGAAATTAATTCTCTCAAAGTTTCATGAATCTGTGGAATTCACTCCCCCAGAGTGCAATGGAAGCGAGGATACTGACTAAATTTAAGGAAGAGATAGACAGATTTTTAATTAGTAATGGGTTAAAGGGTTGTGGAGAGAGGGCAGGAGAGTGGAGTTGAGGCTGAGATGAGATCAGCCACGATCATATTAAATGGTGGGAAAGGTGATGAATGGCCTGCTCCTGTTCTTATGCCAAGCAGTCAATGGTGACAGTGTGCGGGGCATGGGGATTAGACTGGTGACCGTCGGTGGGTGGCATTTGGTTGTTTCACTCTTAACTATATTGGAATGTGGGCCTTACCACTGCCCTTTGAGTCAAGAAATGGTTCCCGACAACATTCTTGCACCATCTGAATTTTATTTGTAATGTTTCAAAGTGACATCCCCTTATTGTGGACTCCCTTGCCAGGGAAAATGAACCTCTGTATTGTTTACTGTTGTTTCAGATAATAAGAGACTATTTCCAGCAGGCAAGCTCCGAAGTAAAGGGACCTTGCGGAAGACAAGTGCGATCAAGGAAAGGGTGATGGCAGAGGCGAAGAGAAAGACCTTGCTCGCCCGACGAATATTGCGAGTTGCCGAAGCGAGTTCTACCATCAGCAATACCACAGCCACCAGGGCCTGGCACCTCAACCGGGGCATCGCAAAGGTCAAAGGGCAGCGCCATTACCACCCTTCACCCCCTCCCCCATGGATTCAACCCATTCCAAGCCGAGTCCCTTTCTGTCTCCAACAGCTGATAGAGCCTGTGCTGGAACAGCAAGAGTTGGAGAGAGAAGTGGATGCATCATGAGTGCATTTGGTCTTCGTGCATTGTACATAAGTAGCACATAGGGCATAGAATTAGGCTATTTAGCCCAACTAGTCCACGCTGCTGTTTATGTTCCATTCTAGCCTCCTCCCACTTTTTCTCATCCAAATCTGGCAGTGTATATCCCTCTCTTCATTTCTCCCACATCTGCTTGTCTAACGTGCCTGTAAATGTATTGAGACTATTCACTGCAACCTCTCCCAGTGGAACGGAGTTCATCACTGTTTGGGTGATTCTCCTCCGTTCCTGTTTGGGTACTTGGTGACCATCTTATCTCAGTGACCTCTAGTTATACCACATGATGAGCCCATTCTCTGGGTATTGAGTCATTTTTAAAGACCTTGATGAGACCGCCCATCGCATTTTCAGGAAAGAAGAGACCCAGCCTGTGTAACTTGTCCTGATTTGTAGACCCCTGTATTTCTGGTTCCATCTTTGTAAAGTTTCTCTGCATCATCACCAATCCAAGCAGCATTGAAACACAGAGAGTAGGCCATCTAGGCCGTCAAAACTGGGCCCAAGAAATTTATACAGAAATAGAAAATAGGACACGAATGTAAAACAGCAAGAAACAAAAATATCTCACAGAAGCTTTTATAGGTATCTGAAAAGCAAGATTAGCAACTATTACAGGCAGAAACAGAAGAATTTATAATAGAAGCTGCAGAAATGGCCGAGATGCTAAATAAGTGTTCAAGAAGGGAAATTGGGATAATCCAGGAAACTGCAGACCGATGGGTCTCACATCGGTGGTTGGGAAGCTACTGGAGAGAATTCTTAGGGATAGGATTTACACAGATTTGGAAAAGCATGGCCTAATTAGGGACAGTCAGCATGGCTTTGTACAGGGCAGATCTTACTAACTTGATTGAATTTTTCGAGAAGGTGATGAAGGTGATCGATGAGCGGAGAGCCGTGGATTTTAAGACTTTCGGCATTGTCCCTCATGGGAGGCTCATCCAGAAGATTGAGATTCATGGGATCCACGGTGACTTGGCCACATGGTTTCAGAATTGGCTTGCCCATAGAAGGCAGAGGGTGGTGGTGGAAGGGTGTTTCTCAGGCTGGAGGACCGTGACTAGTGTTCCGCAGGGATCCATACTGGGAACTTTGCTGTTTGTGACATATAAAAAGAACTTGGATGAAAATGTAGGTGAATGGGTTAGTAAGTTTTCAGATAACACAAAGATCAGTGGAGTTGTGGATACTGTAGAAGGTTGTCAAAGGATACAGTGGGGTATCGATCAGTTACAGATAGGAGCGAGGAAATGGCAGATGGAGTTTAATCCGGGTAAGTGTGATGTGCTGCACTTTGGGAGATCAAATGTTAAGGAAAAAGTACACAGTTAATGGCAGGACCCTGAACAGCATTGACGTACAGAGGGGTCTTGGAGTTCAAGTCCATAGCTCCCTGAAAGTGGCCACACAAGTAGATAGGGTAGTAAAGAAGGTGTATGGTATGCTTGTCTTTATTGGTCAGGGAATTGAGTACAAGAGTCAGGGTGTCATGATGCAGCTTTGAGACTTTGCTTAGGCCACACTTAGAGTGTTGTATATAATTCTGGTCATCGCGTTCCAGGAAGGATGTGAAGGCTTTGGAAAGGGTGCAGAAGAGGTTTACCAGAATACTACAAAAACAGAAGTTGCTGGAAAAGCTCAGCAGGTCTGGCAGCGTATGTGAAGGAAAAAACAGAGTTAACGTTTCGGGTCTGGTGACCCTTCCTCAGAATGGTGACAGAAACGTTAACTGTTTTTTTCTTCACAGATGCTGCCAGACCTGCTGAGCTTTTCCAGCAACTTCTATTTTCGTTCCTGATTTGCAGCATCCACAGTTCTTTCATTTTTTTTTACCAGAATGCTGCCTGGATTAGAGGGTATGAGCTATAAGGAGAGGTTAGAAAAACTCGGGTTGTTTTCTCCAGAGCGGGAGAGGCTGAGGGGAGTCTTGATAGAAGTCTATAAAATGATGAGATGCATAGCTAGGGTTGATGGTCAGAATCTTTATCCCAGAGTTGAAATGTCTAAAACTAGGGAGCATGCATCTAAAGTGAGAGGGGGAAAGTTCAAAGGAGATGTGAGGGGTAAGTTTTTTTATACAGAGAGTGGGTAGGCATCTGGAACGCATTGCCAGAGGTGGTGCTGGAGGCAGATACGATAGGGATGTTTAAGAGACTTTTAGATAAGCACATGAACATACAAGGAATGGAGGAATATGGACTTAAGGGCAGGCAGAAGGGATTAGTTTAATTTGGCATCATGGTCAGTACAACATCATGACCGAAGGGTCCGTTCCTGTGCTGTACTGTTCTACCTTCTGACTGCTTTGTGTTCAAACAGGAGGACGGCACAGTCTCCCTGACGTAATTAATATCCAAGTGAGAATGAACCAAAAGAAATTACTGTTAGTAAAGGTAGGGTTAGAGAGATTAATGGTTACAAATCCCTGGGACCCAATGACCTTCACCCGAGAGTGTTGAAACAAATGGTTACAGAGATAGTGGATGAATTAAGTGATCACTTTTCTAAATTCCATTCATTCTGCAATGGTGTTTGTGGGTTGTAAATGTAATCCTATCGTTTAATAAAAACTGGAGAAAGTGAGCAGGGAACTACAGACCCATTAGCCTGATATCAGTCATTGTTGGGAAAATACCAAAATCAATCCTGTCAGATGTGCTTGTTGAATACTTGACAGAGTCAAGGTGGATTTATGAAGGAGCAATCTCATTTGAAAAACCTGTTGGAGATTTTTTGAGCCTGTCACCAGCACAGTGCGCAAGGGCAAACTGGGGAATGTGAGATGTATACAGATTTTCAGAAACCTTTTTGCTAAAGTTACATTTGGTAGGTTAGCAAATAAAATTGCAGTGCATGGGATGGGAAATAAAATATTGGCATCGATTGAGCTTTGATTGATACAAATTAGGCCTCTTTTCTCTAGAATTTAGAAGTTTAAAGGGTGATCTGATCAAAGTCTTCATGATATTAATGGGAAAAGAAAGGGTAGATAAAGATAAACTATTTCCACTGGTTGGGGATTCTCGAACAAGGGGCATAGTCTGAGACTTAGGGCCAGGAAAGATGTTAGGAAGCACTTCGACACACAAATGGTGCTTGAGGTTTGGAACTCTCTTCCACAAACGGCAGTGAATACTAGATTTTTTTTATCAAGATGGAGAGTGAGGGTATTGATTTGGAGACTAGAGCACAGAGCCTTAATAAAGGAAACTACGAGGATACGAGGCGTGAACTGGCCTTGATAGATTGGGGAGAGTTACTCAAAGGGATGATGACAGTGGATAGGCAATGGCAACGCACTGGGGAACCGCAACACCTGTTTATTCCTGTTATTGGCAAAAGCAAAATGGGTAAGAGGGCCAATCATGGCTTACAAAGGAAATGAGAGATAGTATTCGATCCAAGGAAGAAGCGTACAGATTGGCCAAGAAAAATAATAAATCTGAGGATTGGGACCAGTTTAGAATTCAATAAAGAAGAACCAAAGGATTGATTAAGAAGCGAAAAATAGTGTAGGAAAGTAAGCTTGCAGGGAACATAAAGACTGACACTAAGAGTTTCTGTAGGTACGTGAAAAGGAAGAGATTGGTAAAGACAAATGTAGGTCCCCTACAGACAGAAATGGGGGAATGTATAACAGGAGACAAATGAATGGCTGAGAAACTGAATACATACTTTGGTTCTGTCTTCACAAAAGAGGACACAAATCAGATACCAGAATTGTTGGAGGGCAAGATTTAATGAGAGGAAAGAGCTGAGGGAGATCAATATTAGTAGAGAAATGATGCTGGGAAAATTGTTGGGATTGAAGGCTGATAAATCCCCAGGGCCTGATAATCTACATCCCAGTGTACTTACGGAAGTAGCTCGAGAAACAGTGGATGCATTGGTGGTCATCTTTCAGGATTCTATAGACTCTGGATTGGTCCCTCCAAGCTGGAGGGTGGCTAATGTCACTCCAATATTCAAAAAGGGAGGTAGAGAGAAAACAGGGAGTTATAGACCAGTGAGTCTAACGTCGGTAGTGGGGAAAATTCTCGAATCCATTGTCAAGGATTTTATAGCAGAGCGTTACGAAAGTAGTGGCAGGATCAGACAGAGTCAGCATGGATTTATGAAGAGGAAATCATGCTTGACAAATCTGTTGGAATTCTATGAAGATGTAGCTAGTAGAGTTGACAAGGGGAAGCCAGTCAATGTAGTATATTTGGACTTTCAGAAAGCATTTAACAAAGCCCGATATAAGACATTAATGTGCAAGATTAAAGCGCATGGGATTGGGGAAGTGTATTGAGATGGATAGGAAACTGGTTGGCAAAGAGGAAACAAAGAATAGGAATTAATGGTTCCTTTTCAAATAGTTACAGCCTGCCAATTGGGCTGCCACAGGGATCACTGCTGTGATGCCACCTAATCACAATATATATTAATGATTTGGATGAAGGAACAAAATGAACCATCTCCAAGTTTGCAGATGATACCAAGTTGGGTGGGAGGGTGAACTGTGACTAGGATGCAATTCGACATGGGGCCAATTGTAATATTTACAAGTTTGTGGGGGCTCTTGTGGTGCAATGGTAGTGTCTCTACCTCTGACCCAGGAGGCCTGGGTTCAAGGCCCACCTACTCTGGATGTGTGCAATGACACCTCTGAAAGGGTTGATTAGAAATTATCTCCAGAACATGGTGGGAATGTGTGTCGTGAGGAGGCTTCATGGGGATTTCGACAGGCTGTGTGGATAAGAATGCAGCAGATGGAATATAATCTGGGCATGTGTGAGATAGGAGGAACAAAGGTGCAGAATATTTTTCAAACGTTGAGAGGTTTGAGAAGGGGTGATGTCTAAAGGTGACCTATTTATCAGAAGTCATTGAAAGCTAGCATACAAGGGCAGTAAACAGTCTGTTAGCCTTTGCCATGAATAAATTTGAGTACAGTAACAATGAGGTCTTGCTGCTGTTATATCAAACACTGTGAGAGTGCACCTGGAGTATTGCATGCAGGTCTGGTCCCCTTGCCCAAGATGGAATGCAGTGAGGGACAGAGACTGACTCTGGTCTGGAGAGACTGTACCCAGGGAGAGATACAACAGTTTGGCTGGTATTCTCTGGAGAATAGAAGAACGAGAGACAATCTCATACTTTGGCCTACATGTGACTCCTGACCAACGGCAATGTGATTAGAGTCATAGAGTCACAGACCTGTACAGCACAGAAACAGACCCTTCGGTTCAACTCGTCCAGTGCCGACCAGATATCCTAAATTAATCCAGTCCCACTGGTCAGCATTTGGCCCATATCTGTCTAAACCCTTCCTATTCATGTACCCATCTAGATGCCTTTTAAATGTTGTAATTGTACCAGCCTCCACCACTTCCTCTGGCAGCTCATTCCATACACACACCACCCTCTGTGTGAAAATGTTGCCCCTTAGGTCCCTTATAAATCTTACCCCTCTCACCTTAAACCTATGCTCTCTAGTTTTAGACTTCCCCACCCTGGGGAAAAGACCTTGGCCATTCACCCTATCCATGCTCCTCCTGATTTCGTAAACTTGTATAAGGTCACCCCACATGTTCCGACGCTCCAGGGGAAAAACATCCCAGCCTGATTGATTTTTATTTTTTAGCTATCCTCTGGGAAGCTCTAAGATAACAAGGTGTAGAGCTGGATGAACACAACACGCCAAGCAGCATCATAGGAGCAGGAAGGCTGACGTTTCGGGCCTAGACCCTCAGTTTAGGCCGGGACACAAACTTTGCCTTGCCCACCCCCACCCCCCGAGTCAATGAAAGGAGCAAAACGAGGCTAACTCTGGCTTCCTTCTAACTTCCAGGAGGCCCAGAAGATCAGGAGTCAGGCCCAGGACCAGGCTACACAATCTGGCTTACTCCGTACTCAGCTGGACACCATGCGGGATCAATTGGTCACCCAGGAGGACCAGGCCACAGCCTTCAAGGTGAAACTTCAGGAGGATAGCAAAACTTCTGCCAAGGTAACGCTAAAATAAAAGGCCCCCTCGTCAAGGTAGCACTCTCATTAACCTTCCAGGCTGGGTTTTCATAGTGGTCACCATGGGTTACCACCCCTCAGAGCTGAACTGGCGATGTCAGAAATCTCTGAGACATTGCATGTGAAACAAAACCATAAGAGCGTTTTTTTTTTTTTAAATGTTAATTTTCTTCTGTCTGTCCAGGTATGTGTTGTAAAAATATAGGCTGTTAGGGATAGAAATGACTGATCATGGAGAATCACCCAGTGAGGGTACGAATAACCCTTTCTGCTCTCTGGCTGTGGGACAGTGGAATATCACAAAGATTGACATGGTCAGGAAACAGCTGGTGGGAGAGTGGAGGTGGGCTGTTTGGAGGCCGGAAGTCCCATGACGGCCCCACCAGGAATGGATTGAGTCAGAGTTGGCAAATCCAATAGGAAGTGTGAACAGTTCTGGGTCCTTTATCTAAGGAAGGGTTACCAAGTTGATCCTGTGTTTGGAAGGACTGTCTCAGGAGGACAGGTTGTGTAGGGGCCTGTACTCATTGCAGTCGTAAACAATGATAGACAACCCTCTTGAAACATACAAGATTCTTTGAAAACTTGACAAGGTAGATGTGGAGAGGTTGTTTCTCCTTGTGGGAGGCTGTAGGAGCAGAGCGCACCATCTCAGTATAAGGGGTCATCCATTTAAGGCAGAGATGAGAAGAAATGTCTTCTCTGAGGGGAGTGAATCTGGAATTCTTTACTGCAGAGGGCTGTCGAGGCTGGGTTATTAAGTATATTCAAGGCTGAGGGACAGATTTTTAATCAGGAAGGGAATGAAGGGTCATGGGGAGAAGGCAGGAATGTGGGAGTGGCGGATTATCAGAGCTGCCATGATCTCATTGAATGGTGGAGCAGACTCGATGGGCTGAATGGCCCACTACTGCTCCTACATTTCATAGGCAGACTTTTGACGTTTCAGGAAATGTTTCAGCCATGTACCACTCACGTACTTGCATGCTCAACATGAAGGGGGTTTGATAGATTAGGAACAAGAAACCATCTCCATGGGCAGAAAAATCTGATCATCTGCAGAGATCCAGACGAAGGCGAGGAATTAGAAGGAAGGGAAAGATTTACATTTCATAGTGCCTATAGTGATTCAGAACATCCTGACCCACTTTACTGCCACCCTCGTAGGTACAAAGTATAATCATAGGCTGGTGCGTTTACAACAATGTGTACACAGCAAGCTCCCACAAACAATAGTGCAACGATGAGAAGATAATTAATTTTTGTGATGAGGGATAAATATTGTCCAGAATACTGCGGAATACTCAAATAAAAGCAGAATACTGAGGATGCTGGAGATCTGAACTAAAAACAAAGTGCTGGAGGAACTCAGAGGGTCTGGCAGCTTCTGTAAAGAGAGAAACAGGGTCAACATTTCGAGTCAAATAACAAAGAACAATACAGCACGGGAACAGGCCCTTCGGCCCTCTAAACCTGACACAGTTTGCCCTTCCATATCAAAGCTGTCTTCACTTACAGGATCTGTATCCCTCTATTCCTTTCCTATTCATGTATTTGTCCAGGTGTTTCTTGTATGCTGCTATTGTGCCTGCTTCCACCAGCTCCTCTGGCAGCACGTTCCAGGCACTCACCATCCTTTGTGTGGAAAAAGTGCCTCGCACATCTCTTTTACACTTGCCCCCACCCCCCCCCCCCCCCCCCCAACACCTTGAACCTGTGTCTCCCAGTAACTGACACCTCCACCCTGGGAAATAAAACCTCATACTTTCCACTGTATCCATGCCATTCACACTCTTATAAACTTCTGTCAGGTCATCCCTCAACCCCCTGTGTTCCAGTGAAAACAAACACAGTCTAGAACTTTCCAGACCAGAAACGTTAATTCTGTTTGTCTCTCCCACAATTGCTGCCAGACTAGTTTCTCCAACGCTTTCTGGTTCTTATTCCTTTGCAACAGGAGTAGGCTGTTCGGCCCATCAAACCAGCTCTGCCATACAGTACGATCATGGCTGGTGAACACTTTGATCCCTTTTATTCACGCCAGCCCCACGAACCCATACAGCAACAGGTAATCAGAAATCTATCAATCCCTGCCTTAAAAACACTCAAAACCTCCAGAGTCCTCCAAAGGCTCACAACCGTCTGACAGAATCATTTCTCCTTATTTGAAGAGGGGTCATATCCAAAACATCGACATCTCCTTTCCTCTAGATGCTGCCTGAGCTTGCTGTGTTCTTCCAGCCTCCTGTCTGTCTACCTTGAATGTAAGTGGAATCCCCTTATTTTGACATTGCTCCCTCTGGTTTTATACCCCTCAACCAGGGAAAACCCTAACTGTTTTTCTTCAAATAGTTCACTGGTGTGTTTTAGTCCACTGGAGCTATGGTTTAATGCCTTGTCCAGGAGACGTACCTTCAAGTGTGCAGCACTCTCTCAGTACTGCACTGTCTGAGACCACTGCCTTCTAACTGAGAGATCAGAGCGACGTCTGAGGGATAGGAGGAAGGGGAACGATAGCTTGAGAGCCTTGAGAGTAAAGGTACTGGTGATGCTGTGTTATAACAGATGATCCTATCACTTGAGGTTCAATCACAAAAGGGAGCTGACTCAGACAATGAAAGGTTTCAGCAGGAACCCTATATATATAAAATACACTTCTCTAAGGTTTTAGAGTAGATCTGTAGCTCGGGTCGTGGGTGTTGAGGTTGGTTGGCTCGCCGAGCTGGGGTCTAGCTCTGTGTGTTTGTTGATGGCTTTCTTCGTGGAGACCAATACTCACTCATCTCCATCCACATGGATAAGGAGAACCACCAATTCGATTGGGACAACACGAAAATCCTGGGACAGGCGAAGCAGAGACAGGCACGGGAATTCCTAGAGGCCTGGTACTCCACAAAGAAAGCCATCAATAAACATAGAACTCTACCCCATATATACTCCACTACGAAGGAAAACCAGAAGTGAGGTAATCCATCGCAACGGACCCCAGAGTTTAAAAACCAGGTGGGAAAACACACCGACGCTTCATCAGAGGCTGCACTGATGACGTTACCCAGCACGGTAATGAAACGTCTGCGGAACAACAAACCAGCTCGGCGAGCCAACCCACCACAACATCCACTTCTACGTTTCAACACTGAGACTAAGGCAGACTGAGGGAGTGCTGCATTGCCACAGGTGCCAACCCCAAAGAAGGTGTGGAACCAATGATTCAAAAGCACATCGTCTCAGAAAAGAATGTCGGCCAAGACCGTCAGTGATGTTTATGGGATCTTTCCATGCACAGTCTGGAATTCCACCCCCTCCCCACCCAAAGGCTGGAGTCCAGTGGGAATCCTGGCTGCTCGTTAGTATTCACCTGAACCAGAGAAGCTTTAACCCCTGACCATATGGCACGGTCTCTTGGAGACTGCTCGGGGTGGTGTGCATTACTAACTGAGCCAAGCTGATGTGCTTACCTCAAATTGGCTTCTGTCTCTGTGACAGGTCCTTCATGAAACAGAGGCCATGGGAAAGAAGGTGAAGAAAGCGAAACAGTCACTCGATCGTGATCTGAAGCAGTTAACCGAATTACTGAAGACGGTCGGTATGTTCATGGGCAAGGTGCTGAGGCTGTCCAAGAGAGATCCCAAACTCCACAAGGTCCTAGGGTCACTATGGTGACTATGCCCTGGAGCACAGGGTCACTGAGCCCTGGGTCATAGGGTCACCGGAGTCGTAAGGTCACTAGGGTCATAGGGTCACCGGAGTCGTAAGGTCACTAGGGTCAGAGGGTCACCGGAGTCGTAAGGTCACTAGGGTCAGAGGGTCACTGAGCCCTGGGTTGTGAGGTCACTGGGTTGAAGGGTCACTGAACCCTGGGTCATAGGGTCACTGAACCCTGGGTTGTAAGGTCACTGGGTCACAGGGTCACTGACCCCTGGGTCATAGGGTCACTGGAGTCGTAAGGTCACTAAAGTCAGAGGGTCACTGACCCCTGGGTCATAGGGTCACTGGAGTCATGGGGTTACTGGGTCGTAGGGTCACTGAGCCCTGAGTGGTGAGTTGGGAGGATCACTAAACCCTAAATTGGATGGTCGCTGACCCTGAGGCCATCAAGCAGTGGGCTCACTGAGCTCCCCGTGTCCTGCAGACCCCACTGCCAGGGGTCAGCTGCTGTCACTGTATGATGACCCTTTTGTGTTTGCTCTTTCCCTGATAGAGAGTCTTCAGGTTGACCGAGTGACAGAGGAAATGCTGAATAAAACCGAGGTGGAGATGGGAGCCCTGAGGTGGGTGATCGATCAGAAGCTGGATCAGAAGCTGCGGGAGCTGGAGGCAGCCTCTGACCTACAGATCCTGAAAATGAAAACTATAGAAAAGGACATGGAGGACATTGAGGCAGAGAAGCTGAGCCTGGAGGACATTGTTCAGAACCTGCCTCAAGGCTGTTATAACCGTGTGGCATTGTAAGAGGGTTAAGGCAGACAGAAGAAGAGAGAGGCGATCTCTGTGGGTATTTTTATGTTATTATCTCAAGACATTTGCCATTGACACTGTAGTAATTTGATTGGGCATTTAATCCTTTTTTACCCATTTTAACCCAGTCACCTAGCCTCCTGTGGCTTGTACTGGCTTCGAGTTAGTGCCCAGGTGAAGCCCTCCAATACTTCATGGTCTGTACCTTCTCATTGCTTGTTGGATATAAATGGCGCCATTGGGACAAAGATGGCACCTCATTGTTCACACACGGACCAGCTGGAGCCTCTTCTGCTCTCACGTTGGACCAAGGAGCTCTGAGACCGTTGTGCTTCATCAGACTGATTTTCCATCAACTGGGTGAAAAGTGAGCCGTCTCCATCCTGCAGGGCCAGACTGGGTAAGGCTGGCAGAATGCCTCCTTCCAAAGGGCATTAATGAACCAGATGGGGTTTCACAGTCACCCTTACTGAGAGCAGCTTTTTGTTTTATATGTCCAGAATTCCTATCACGCACAACAACAGCTTTCCCACCACCAAATCACCATGACTTTTTTTTGTTTGTAGTTTTTTTTTTTGTTTAATCACAACTGAACGACCTTCCACTGTCAAATCACTCTGGCTGTTTTTTAAAAATGATTTAACCACCACCAGTAAACCCGTGTGTAGCTGGTTGAATATTTACGGGCAAAGCAAACCATTGAAAGGGAGGGACAGAGGGGTAGGGAGAGCGGAATAAGCTTTGTATTATCCCCCAACGGTGCCCACTTCTCTCTAGAGGCAGCAAGAACATTGGTGCAGACCAATCACTCTCAGAAGTAAGTATTTAACTGAAATCACCCTCCAATGCTCATGCTGGGGTTTGAAGCCTCTGAATTGCCAGCCCAGTAATATTCTCACTGTCTGACTATCCTCATCTACCTTATTACAATACAGACCACACTGCTACCAGTAAGCTACCGCTATCATTTTTCTCTTGCTGCACAGTAAGGTGTGGGGGTAGGTTGGGTGGCGTCTGTGTCTGAGCATGCGTGGGAAATGAAGGAAGGAGTTCAGGGAAGACACCGCTGTGCAAATAATTTTATTCAATACATCCATCAACGGGGGAAAAAAAACGCTCACACGGCCAGGGAAACAGTAACGAGCAAAGCCCGAGAGGGGCAATGCTTACGTGAGAAAAAGAGTGAAGATGGGGTGTTGGGGTAGGGAATAAATCCAAGTAGAATGGGAGGGGGAAATGAAGCTCTCCACCCCACCGCGGTGCCCACCCGCTCCCTAAAGGTGCCGAGAGCATTGGTGGGCACCGTGTGGTTCGTCTCCAAGGACACACGGGCTCAAAAATGGCTGTGGGAGAGAGGCAGGCAATCACCTGAAATGACCCCCTCCCCGGCCTGCTGCCTGGACTTGTTTGTAGAAAGAAGGCCCCTTCTATAAGGTGATTAGGTACATTGGAACAGTAAATACTAGTATAAGCAGTGCTAATACAGTGTGGAGCTGGAGGAACACAGCAGGTCAGGCAGCATCAGAGCAGCAGGAAAGTTGACGTTTCAGGTCGGGACCCTAAATCAGTCTGGCCTGAAACATCAGCTTTCCTGTTCCTCTGATGCTGCCTGGCCTGCTGTGTTCCTCCTGCTCCACACTGTGTTATCTCTGACTCCAGCATCGGCAGTTCTTACTATCTCCATCTAACCAGTGCTATCCTGAGTCTGAATTCAGAAGAAACAAATTGAGCCTAAAACTTACATATTCCTACACCATCGAGTGCTGTACCCGTCAATACTTACTCACCGCAACCATGATGTATTCAGAGCTACAGAAATCTCTCAACAACAGAAGATAACAACCTCTCAATCAGGCTGTAACCCTTGAAAGTTTCACATTTGCCTCAAAAATACTAATGACTGAATCAAACAGTGACTGGTTTTGATCAATGGCAAGTTGAGTGAATGAACCCTCTTTTTATAGACTATCACAATTGCTGACTGTAGGATGACTCCCTCAAGTTCCCCTCCGAGCCACTCACCACCCTGACTTGGAAATATATCGCCGCCCCTTCACTGTGGCTGGGTCAGAATCCTGGAATTCCAACCCCACCCCCACCGAAGGTTGTACCTACAGCATGTGGACTGGAAGGCAGCTCAGCACCACCTTCTCCAGGTTAATTAGGGACAGGCGATAAATTTTGGCCCGGTCAGCTGGTTCAATTCCCATGAGTGAACAAAATAAAGATGCAAGTGTGTTACCGTGGGGTTTGAGTTGTAATGTGAGTTGTTTGTCCCTATGGTAACCCAGGGACGTGAAGGCTGGTTTACACCCTTTATTTTTGCCCCGTTTTTATGAGTGATGGGCTTGGACCCCATCCCAGTAGACCCCACACCTATTGGGTCCTGAACTACACAGTATTGTGCTCTCACTCCTGTGTAATGGGTACCCGGGGTTATTTTTCACTTTGATTTGTCGAGCTGAGGCCTGGTTTTATTAAAAGCTGACAGTGTATAAAATGTAACGTAATTTCACCCTCTAATTAACTCGCGGGCTGCGACAGCAATTGGATACTAGCTTTAGCAATAGAATAACATTTTTCTTGGCAGAATATTGGTGCCATAACAAGACAGTATCTAGAAGGAGCTAACTCACTGCACATCTCAAAATAATCAACGACAGTTTTACAGTCAATGACATACTTTGTCTCCTTCTGACTACTCTCAAAGCCCATGACAACAATTGCCTGCATTTATGTAACACCTTTGACATGCCCCAATGCGCTTTGTAGCACTGACCACCCAACGAGTTTTGAACCTGAGCCACAGAAGGAGATGGGTGAGCAAAGGATTGACCAAGAAGGAACCTCTTAAAGGAGAAGAGAGAACTGGGGAGGTTTAGGGGGAAATCCCAGTGACCGAACAGTGTTGCAAAGTCCCAGAGTGAAGATCAGCAAGTAACTTAAGGTGCCTGAAATTGCACTTAATGTTAATAATTAACGGGATCTCATCAACTGCACTCATAAACATATTGCCTTCAGATTATTCCAAGAGATACAGACAACAGATTAAAACAGGCACGGACTGGAATAATTCAATATCAATGCAACCATTCATTAGGCATACTGAAACTAACTTTAACTTCATGTTCACATGGCTATGAAGCAAACTCTTGCAAAAAAAAAGACATTTTTTGTCATTTACACTTCCTCTCCCTGCCCAATTACTGATCGCATGTCGGAAATACAAATGCGAACTTGTCATTATTTTTGCAAGCACTCCAAAAACGGCAAAAGAAACTTCTGTTTCTGAGGCAGCTTTCACAACCTCAGGGAGGTCTGAAACATTTTTGAACCAACCGGGAACTTTGCCAGCGGTTATCGCTTTGTCATGTTAGAAAATTGTCGTTTTGCACACAGCTAGCTGTCTCACAAACAGCACGGACACAGAAAGTGCTGGAGAAACTCAACAGGTCTGGCAGCATCAGTGAAGAGAGAGTAAAGTTAATGTTTTGAGTCTGATATGACTCTTCCTCAGAACTTCCACAAACAACAACATGACAATAAACAGATCATCTCCTTTTAGTGAAAGACCACACTTGAAGTACTGCATTCAGTTCTGGTCACCGCATTCCAGGAAGGATGTGGAGGCTTTGGAGAGGGTGCAGAAGAGGTTTACCAGAATGCTGCCTGGATTAGAGGGTATGAGCTATAAGGAAGAAGGGTCCTGACCTGAAATGTCAGCTTTCCTACTCCTCTGATGCTGCCTGGCCTGCTGTGTTCCTCCAGCTCCACACTGTTATCTCTGACTCCAGTATCAGCAGTTCTTACTATCCCTAGAAAAACTCGGGTTGTTTTCTCTGGAGCGGCGGAGGCTGAGGGGGAGACTTGATAGAAATCTATAAAATTATTATGCAAAGATAGGATTGACGGTCAGAATCTTTTTCCCAGAGTTGGAATGTCTAAAACTAGGGGGCAGGCATTTTAAGGTGAGAGGGGGAAAGTTCAAAGGAGATGTGAGGGAGAAGTTTTTTTTACACAGAGAGCGGTAGGAGTGTGGAATGTGTTGCCAGGGGTGGTGGTGGAGGCAGATATATCAGGGGTGTTTTAGAGACTTTTAGATAAGCACATGAATACGCAAGTAATGGAGGGATATGGACCAAGGGCAGGCAAAAGGGATTTGTTTAATTTGGCGTCATGTTCGGCACAACATTGTGGGCCGAAGGGCCCTTTCTTGTGCTGTACTGTTCTATGTCTTACATTCTAGTGATGTTGATTGAGGGATAAATATCGATCAGGTTACCATGGAGAAATCCCCTGCGGCTTTTGGAATAGAGATGTTTTACATCTGCTGCATGGGCAGATGGGCTTTGGTTTTAACATCTCACGCAAAAAACCCTAAATGAAAGTACAATGGTGCAGATGCTGGAGATCTGAAACAAAAATAGAAAGCGCTAGAGAAACTCAGCAGGTTTGGCAACATCAGTGAAGGGAGAGAAACAGAGTTAATGTTTCAAGTCCGGTATGACTCTCCATCAGAACTCATCTTCAGAGTCTTAAAACCTCAACAGGCTCACAAATGTTTTTTTCTGGAATATGGGCTATTCTTATCCCAGAAAAAAAGCAATCACAACAAAGTTTTAAGAAATAGAAAGACCACAGCCTTCTAGGGACACGTTGGGATTGTTTTTCCAACATCATTTGAATTCCAAAGGCAAATATTTTAATAAGTCTTGAGATAAATAGCTCAGTGCCTTTGTGAAATTATTGGGTACTACATTAGCACTGCATTCCCACACTGAGGCAATCTGATAACCAAGAGAGAATTGTTTCCAACGGTAGAGTATTAGTAACTAGAGAGATGTAGATTGACCCAAGAATCAGGTGGAGAGAGATCAGGGGCATTATTTTGAATGAGTGAGTATTGGTTTGGAATGCACCATCTGAAAGACGGTGGAAGCAGATTTTGCAGTAACCTGGAAAAGGGAATTGGAGAGGAAACATTGCAAGGCTGTGGACAAAGAGGAGAAGGCAGTGGTACTAACTGAAACAGAAAGAGCCAGTACAAGCATGATAGCCAAAATGGCCTCCTTCCATGCTACATCGGGGGGCAAACAGTTACTTCATAAAAAATGCTCAGTCTAAACATCACCAAGGTCTTTGTTCAGAATTTAAGGAGTTCTGGCAGGCAATCAGAAAGTTGCAGAATTGGCTGGGGTAAAATGTTTCGGGACATCCAGGACTCATTGTCACTGCATTCAGACCTGCACAAGAAATCCCACAGTCATCGCTCAAACACTGTATCGAAAATCAAATTTATATGAATTGATTGAAAGCAGAGACATGTTTGTAAGATATTTAATCCCTATTATTAAACAATTATTTTGATGGTTATAGTGTCGTTCGTCGTGTGATTATCTGTCTGAATCGTTCTGATCTGTATCTGAGTTCACTTTTGCGAATCATGCTATTAATTTTGATGTGTCATTTGTCAATCCAGTCCCAGTGCAGGTCAGGTTTTTATTGCTGAGTATGGCTCACTCTGATTGTACTGGTGGTCTGGCCAGCACCCAGGGATCTCAGCTTGGAAGCCTGATATGGCTCCTCTTCCTATCTCTAAAATGTGGAAACATTTTGTGTGTGTCACATTTCAAAGTGTCTCCCTTGAAAACATCACATTGATGCCTGATTAATTCAAATCTGGCCCTTCCCAAACCTGGCAATCTATGGAGCTGACTGGGAACCGAATCCATGGCCAAGCAGCAGCTGATAAAAGGACAACCAATGACAATTGACATCTTATACATAATATATAAATGACATATTTATGTAAATGATTTGGATGTGAATACAGGAGGCACTGTTAGTAAGTTTGCTGATGACACCAAAATTGGAGATTACCTCAGAGTACAGTAGGACCTTGATCAGATGGGCCAATGGGCCAAGGAGTAGCAGATAGAGTTTAATTTGGATGAATGTGAGATACTGCATTTTGCACTTATACAGGGCAGGACTTATACACTTAATGGTAAGGTCCTGGGGAGTGTTACTGAACAAAGAGACCTTAAGAGTGCAGGTTCACAGTTCCTTGAAAATGGAATCACAGTTAGACAGGATAGTGAAGGAGGAATTTGGTACACTTGTCTTTATTGGTCAGAACGTTGAGTATAGGAGTTGGGAGGTCATGTTGCGGCTGTACAGGACATTGGTGAGGCCACTTTTAGAATACTGCGTGCAATTCTATAGGAAGGATGTTGTTAAACTTGAGAGGGTGCAGGAAATATTTACGAGGATGTTGCTGTGACTGGGTTTGAGTTACAGGGAAAGGCTGAACAGGCTGGGATTATTTTCCCTACAGTGTCAGAGGCTGAGGGCTGATGAGTTGGACTGAAGGGTCTGTTTCTGTGACTCTATCACATCAGTATATGCCTATGAATGAGGGGTTGTGGTTAGCTCAGTTGGCTGGATGGCTGGTTTGCAATGTAAAGTGACACCAACAGTGTGGGTTTGATTCCCACATTGG